TTGCAAAATCAGTGAAATCATTAAAATATTTAAAGTATACAGTTATGTCCAGATAAAATCCTTTAAATGATTATAAAAGTTAAGGTTAATTTCATTTAACATCTATATAAGTAAATATTCAGTGAACGCTTTTACGTTTTAGAAACAGAAATGATTGAATTTAAAACCACAGTTTGACTCCATAAGAAATGTTAATGAGTATTTCTAATTAAATTGATAATTAGCCATGACTCATGTTTACCAAGTTTCATTTAAACAATAATTAGGATAAATTTGAAAAAAAATTACAAAAACCATTTAATCCTGTGAAAATTAGACATTTAGAAAGAACATTAAATAAAAAAAATAAGGAGAACCTGTTGGAAATTAATGGAAATATAATTTAAAGCATAAAATATAACATTTGATTGGTTGGATTGAAAATTGAAATGATTTTCAAATGATGCAAGAAATATTTAACTTGGATTGAAATCTCAACCAATTGATTGATAAAAAAAAAAAAAAAAATCTACATTGTTTTCTAAAAAAACTGCTAAAGGGAATTAAAAATTGGGCTTTACTATTAAAATTAAATTTACAATTTTTTTATTTTTTTATTTGAGAAACATGGTTTTCTTTCCAATTAATCTTTTGTTAAATATTAATTTAGATTTATTCTACCAAAGATGATTATGGACAAATGAAAATGTTAAGAAATTAATTTTGGGAAAAAAAAAAAAAATTTTAAAGAAAATCTCTGCTTGGCTGCATCGACAAAACAATTTTATTGAAATTAGGCTAAATTTAATCTGGCAATGAAAAACATCACAATGGGATGAGCTAAGTTGATAGAAGTTGGGGCGGGGGTGGCAAGAGAGGGAGAAGAGAATTCAATTTGTTCATTTCTTGATATGCCTAAATTCTAAATACTAGAATGGTTAAAAAAAAAAAAAAAAAAAAACTTTAAGAGATACTGAACATTCATGGGATTCTTAAACAGCAATTTTATTTCTATAATTCTACAGCAACAGACGCTTCATTTTCAAATTGAATCGAAAGAGTTCTTCAATGTATTTCAAAAGCAACACTCCTACAAAAATTTTCATTTTAAAAAAATTCCTATTTTTTTTTCATTAGTTTTACATTTGTTCCATCTAGTAAAATATTTTATAAAATATTTTTGCATGTGGTGAGGGCTGAAAAGTTTTCAGCCTAACCAAGAAAGGAAGGAAAAAAAAAATAATTATATTGTTTTGTATAATATTTTCTAGTATTTTTCTTTTTCTCTCTCTATCTATATATATATATATATATATATATATATATGTCTGATTGAATAAATTACAAACATTACATCTGCTTATTTTTATCATAATCCTTTCATCTTCACAAATATTTTTCCGTATATTACAAGTGAATAAGGCAAGAAACTGTAACAGTGAGAATCACTTATTTCCCAAGTACTTTCCATTTCTTTCTGAGATCATCATCATTGGGGAGTGCAACTGGTAATGCAAAAAACTATGTGTAGCTATCCATTACTTAATTGTAATATATGGAAAAATATTTGTTAATATGAAAGGATTATGATAAAAATAAGCAGACATAATGATTGTAATTTATTTTCCATTTCCTAAAGTGGGGAGTATATATGTGCTTTAAAGATCAGCATTTTAAAATGAGAAAATTTTATCTATAGTTAAATGCCAACCATCAGCTTCATTGAGAAATATACAATTTTCCCCATCAACAAAGCAGACCAAAAACAAAATAATTCTTTCTGCAGTATAAGAATATCTGCACATATGTGTTTATATTGAATTATTATTTATTTATATACAAAGTAATGATATATTTATTTGAGAGCAATGTGGGAAGAAAAAATTAGACAGCATGAAAAAAATCTAGAACAAATGTTTATATTGCATATTCTTAATATCAGATTTTTTAAAAATCTTTATTTTTATTGGGACATTTTAATGTCTAAATACTATATTAGAGAGTATAGCAGCAATGCCTTAGAATCAATACACTATTCCCTAATTAAAAAAAAAAATATTCTCACATATTTACAATGAGACGAAAATGATTTAATGTCTATTTAAACTGAGAGAAATTAATGTTTTTACATTTTACTAAAATGTCACTTAAATTTTTAAGCCAATTTCTTTTAATTGTTTCACCCCAAGCAAGGTGATAATGCCACCAAGATGCAAGGGGTTACTGGGAGTGAAAGAGAATTAGAAGACATTAGTGAGGAGAAAGGACAATAAAAGAACATGATTCAGGAAGACAGAAAAAAAAATTAGAGGCTTGTTCTTAGGAAGACAGAAGATGATGATTGGCATTTCATTTAAATTTTTTTCCAGATATTTCTTTTTAAAAGATTTTCATTTTTTTAATTTTTTTTTTTACATTAATCAAGTGGATTGACTAAATTAATATTGACAATTAGAACCCCCAAAAAAAAAAAAACAACCCTTTTTAATGTTTTGCAATATTCAAGATATCAAACACACTTCAAATGTATGTGCTTTAAAGACCAAGACAATATTAATTTCAACATTAATGATTAATTTCTTAATTAAAAAAAACAACAATCTCTTTCCCCAATATCCTGGTGGATGATTATAATAAATAAAATATCTTTTAATCTTTAAAAGAGATTAAAAAATGTCCAATAATAAAATTCCATCATTTTACCAATTTAACCCTGATCAGTATCGTATATGTAGTTTCACACAGCAACCGGTATACTGGCTGTTCTGGTCCAAAGGGTTAAAGCCTAATAAATACCTTGAATTTGTATTAAAACTTCAGTGTTTATAACTGATATACTATAGTATCAGCATATACACAATCATAAGCACTTACAATTACATCATTACACATTTAATATACACTCAAATGGCAATTTATTCATAGTAGGTGATAATATTAAACAGGTACTAATGGAGTAGGTATTTATATATTCAACATAGCAATAACACAGACTATAATCAATATTTTTCTTTTTATGTAGAGCTGAAAAGATTCACTGAAAAAAAGTATTCAAGATTCAAAAGTGGACAAATTATTTAATAAAATTTGCCCATCTAAAAACTGTTAAAAATCTGTATGACCAATTTTGATAATTAAGTTTAATTAAACAGGTAAATATAAACAATTTCAATAAAAATGCTTCCCATTTTTTTCTCTTGCAATTTGTCATCATAAACTAAAATGGCTTCCAACATCTAAAGCAGAGCACTGAGATATTTGAATATTTTTCTCGTCAACAGGTTAGTATAAAATTGTCTAAAATAATAAGAAAATGTTATGCCTGCTGATATGTGATCAAATTAACTATGTTTTGAAACATCAGAATATTCATTAAATGTATAACAATGATGTGTTTTTAAAAAGGACTTCTTCCTATTTCTACTTCATCATCTTAACATTGCAAACAAGTGATGTCACACATTTCACATATACATGATTAAATAAGAAGCAAATCAGAAAATCTTTTATAAATTTAATGTTTTAGCATCATCAGGAGTGTTTTTGAATTTTCAAAATATTTCTGATGAAGCTACATAATGAAACATACCAAATTAATAAATATTTTACTACTTAATTTTTACTTCTGTAAGACTTGATCCATATTTTTCAACTTATATATATGAGAGAGAGAGAGAGAGAGAGAAAGAAAGAAAGAGAGTATACATTTTTTTGAAGAACATAAAGGTTTTTGTTTTTTTGGGTTTTTTTTTTTTTAAATTTCAGTCATGTTTATATCTGGTTCATCAGTACATAAGCACATAAAAAAAAACCCCAAAAAACATTGAGCTTAAGATCAAAATGCTGCATGAAAGCAATATTCTTGTATCAAAAGAAATAGATTAGTTGATTATTTTACTACTGCAAAATTAACCCTTTTTTATTTTTTGGCAAGAAGAGAAAAACAGAAAGAAAGAAAAGAAAACTGACATTTTTTTTTTTGACAAAGCTTAATGAAATGAGAGAATACAAATTGAAGTACATCTCAACTTAAAGGATAAAATATGTGTTATTCATCATCAACTTGGTATGCAGAACAATTTCTTTGAACAGATTTCCATTTTATCAGCAAACAATTCAATCATGCATTAAGTCTAGTAATGGGGTTTCTTGGGATGAATTACGGCTTAATGTGTTTGATAGACAAGATACATTGTTGCATGAGTCAACATAGTATTTCTTGACGCTGGATATGAGCACACATCCAATGCAAGAGAACGTCATGTTAAGATAAAGCAAAAAACACACACACACACACACAAATCAAAAAATTAGTGATAGGTTAAATTCAAGGTTGAATTCATTTTTTTTTCTAAAGCTTTAAATTTTGAACAGATATTTAATCTTCTAAAATAATTAGCAAATAATGAAAAAGAATGGCTCAAAAAGAAAAAGGTGATGTAGAAACCAACTAGCAATGCATTTAAGACATGAGCCAGGTTTAAGAAATGGCTCAGAGTGAAGAAAATTAGATAAAAGATAATTAAAGAGTGAAATGCGAAGAAAAAAGAAAGATGGAGGTAGATAAAAGCCAAAAAAAATAAAATAAAAAAAAAAAAAGAAAAGAAAAAAGAAAAAAAATGAAGGAATAAACAAACAAATAAAGAAAATGAAGAAAAAAAAAATTGTCGGAGAACAACAAGTGTTAAAATATTCACCATCATTCATAGATTAATTTTAAAGAAAAATCCAGCTCTGTGCAAATAAGATCTTAAATTTCAATAAAATTTATCTAATATACCAAGTTCAATGCATTGTGAACGAAGAAAAAAAAAATAGTCATAGAGAAAGGAATATCATCAGGTTTCCTTGATTCATTCTTCAAGATGAATGAGAAAAAAAAACATTGTATGAAAGAATTTTGAATATAAAACATAGTAGATTTCAATGAAAAAGCCTAAAAATAAATGAAATGTTTCACTTAAATGATTCTAAGTTTGTTTTCCTGAATAAAAGAAGAAAAACTTAAAGGAAGAGCTTACCATCCTGCCTCCCGCGCCTTTAGCGCTGTTTTCCCTGCACTTCTTCTGCTGTTATGTCGACATTATGACTATGACTAGATGAATAAAACCAGTCAGCAGATACTACCTATCTGGCTTCTGATTGGACAATGATGAGGACATAGCCGATTGATTACTATGAAATTCTTATCAAGTCTCTAATAAGGTCAATTCTTCTTCAGTGGACAGAAAAATTTTGCACACAGTAGATCTAAAAATAAATTTAAGTCAGCCTTGAAATATTATCAATAGTTTAGGGAAAAAAGGGCGGAAAATGGTTAACTTTAAGACTTCCAGCTGACTACAAATGAATAGTCCTACACATAATCAGGTTTGCCATTTGAATAATCAATGAAAACTGTTTCTTTCCAGGGACAAGCAGGATGCCAGCAATCTGACAAAGCTTGCTGCTGCTGCAGCCGGTGCAGGGATGATCAAATCATGTGAATATTCCACCAGTTGTTACCATAACATCAACATAGCCAGCCTTCCACTGTAGCGAGGCAGATCACTGGTTATTGATTTTTTTTCTCTCCCTCCTTTGCTTTTTCAGTCAGCCTTCAACAGCATTCTCATAGCAAAGCAATGATTAGAGAACAGAGTCCCTTATATGGAAACAGATGCCGCAACATAAGCTGTAAACACTTGCTAGAATTAGGTAGAAAGAATAGGGTAGAACCCTGTGTGCCATTTTAAGATGCATCACATAAGTCAGCTCTCTGAATTTCACTCAACAATTGGATGTATAAATAGAAAATTATTATTATTATTTATAATAATAATATAAGATTTTTATTAGCAATATTTTATATCATTCTATATATAGAAAGAGTTATTTTATTTTCAATAGCTGAAACAAAAAAAAAAAAAAATTCTATTATTCAAATATAGAATTTTACTTATCTCTTTAAAAAAAAAAAAAAAAGCATTAATCACATTGTAATATAGCATATGCAACAGCAACTAGAAGTAACTGAATATTTATACCTTTACAAATAGAAGTAATTATTTTATTTGATAAACATTTAAATAACTTGATTTTTAAAAGTGTAGATGAAATAGAAGACATTCATTTTCCTTGATATTGACGAAATGAAGCTAATTCAACAGAATGCTTAAAAGTCTACTTTCTAAAAACTGAAAAAGAAAAAAAAAAGGTCTCTCATTTGTGCTTATACCTGGATTAAATAGAATGATACCGAATTCAATTGTAAACAAATCTTTTTAATAAACTTAGCAATCAGTGTAGATTATAGAATAAAAAATGAATCAGAAAAGAAAAAAAAGAAAAAAGGCTGCTTGCCTGAACCTCTGTTCAGTGTAGCTAGCCTTAGAAACATGTCTGACTCAACAACAGATGTTAATTATCAAATACCGTAGCAGAAGAGAAGACCGGGCGAAAGAGAGAAGAGAGTCCAAGTGATCAGACACTGAGCCTGATGTTAACAGAGAACATTGAAAACTAGAGTCCAATGACAAATACATCTAAACAGTTAACATTGTGTACATACCATATCTGGGTGAATTCAATTGCAGCTAACAATCTCAGTGCCTCTAAAAATAACAAATGACTGACCTTCAAGTACAAAATTTAAGGTGGGAATAAAAACATTTACGTTGATAAATTATGTATAAATCGATAATAATCATGGATGAAATATTTTTCAGGGACCAGAATTAAATACGTATTTAAAGAAAATAGAATATTTCATCCTAATTCAAAATATCTAACCTATTTTTTTTTATCAAGTGGTATTGATAAACATAATTATTTTGACCTAGTGACTGCTATGGTCAATGATCTGACATCTTTTCTGGATATCATGAAGATGCAAAGTATATTAAAACTATATGAATTTATATTTTTGTTGTTTTTAATATCAATAAATATTATATTTGCATATCTTGTTAAAAAAAATGCCAATATGAAAAACTAAACCAAATATATACATCATTCACGGAGTGGAACTAAGAACAATTCACTCATTTGAGTTACCAATACCATTATTATCCCACTAGCATAGTACCCATCAAATATGATGAAATTATTTGTATATGGAATCAGTTATCTAAGATCAAAGTAAGTGATCTACCTAAAATCAAAGTGTTACTCCCCAGCTGTCCAGGGTGGGGATGGAGGAAAAATTAATATGTGCTTGAGCCCCAGGGAGTGCATCCTTCAGGTAATACCTCTCCTTAACACTTCTAGCTAGGAAGAGAGTGTGTAGTATCTGTGTACTATAAATTTTATATATATATTTTATATATATATATATATATATATATATATATATATATATATATATAAAAAAAAAATTTTTTTTTTTTTTTTTAAATAATATGAACAACTGTCAGTTTTTTTTTATTAAATCTTTAAAATTTCTGAATAAGTTTTTTCATGTTATTGCTAAATTTGCCAAAATTCATATGAATTTTTATTTTATATTTTTTTCCACCAAGTACTTCTGAATGTTGCTACATTCATTTTCAAGGATTGTTGTGTGTGTAGTTATGCGACTGGTTTTTAATTACAGCATTCTCAAGTTCAATGGAACTAATTTTCAAGTGACTCGAAAATGAATGTAACAATTCAAAAGGTAATCGGTAAAAAAAAAAAAAATAATATAAAATAAAAGATAACATGAATTTTGGCAAATTTATCAATAACACAAAACTTATTTGGAAGCTTGAAAGATTTAATAAAAGAAATTGGTAGACAGAATTTGTCCATATTATTTAACAAAATATGTTTGATATCATCATCATCCCCTTGACTTTTGTAATCATAGGGAGGATCCAAATGCAGAAGCCACACTGAATCTCCATCTTTGATATATACATTATTAGCAAAACAAACAAATGTTGCAGTAAATATAACTTATGTTGTTTAAAAGAAAAAAAAAAACAAAGTGTTCAATGAGAGCCACTATAGAGACAAGTACAGACTAACAATTTTTTATTTTACTTGTCAGGTTATACTTAGTGTGTGTGTGTGTAAGCAAAAGTAATACTTCCATGTTATTTAACAATAATGACAAAGCTGAATTGACATTCATAATTATTTTTCTTGTAAAAAATTCAATCCAAATTAATATTTTAAGAATATGTGAAAGTCTATTTAAAGTGACAAAAAAGGTTTAAATTTTTTATATCAATTAAAAATAATTCACTTTATGCAAATCAGCTAATTGATTAAACAAGTTTCTCATTCATCAAGAAAGAAAGTATTGAAGAATTTAAAGTCTTTCAAATAAAAAAAAAAAAAAAAAAAAAAAAATGGTTAAAAAAAAAAATGGTAAAAAAGACAGTTTCAGAACTAATTCAGAAACAGTACATATATATATATATATATATATATATATATATATATATATATATATGGTATGATGGATAAATTGTTTAAATTACACAAAAATGAAAATAACACTGACATATCTTGATATAAGAGTAAATTTATTAAAGAAAAAAAAAAAAAAAAAAAAAAAAAAAAAAAAAAAAAAAAAAAAAATCAGCATGGACTTCAATCATGGTCTCCAGTATCTCCTGCAACTCTTCTGAATGGTTTCCTTGTTTAAATTGCTGAATGTTGCCATAATTATCACCTTCAGTTCATCTTTTGTATTACAAAGAGTTTTGTTGGTCTCTTGCTCAACTGTGTCCCACACATAATAATCAAGGGTGTTGCAGTTTGGAGAGTTAGGTGGCCAGATGTAAGGGGTGATGTGGTCGCAGAAATTGTCTGACAGCCATGACTGGGTTCTCTTGCTTGTGTGGCATGGTGCTGAGTCCTTTTTCCAGACATAGGCACTTGATGTAGGCCTCTGTGTTCAGTGAGGCCCTGTAGGAAGATAAATGGAGGCATAATGTTGCCATCACTAGTGATCACTCCAAACACCTTCATAATCACCATCAGACTCATCCAACTCTTTCCAAATCCTCTGCACTATCCTCAGATTGGCACCCAAACACTGAAATGTTCACACTGATACTTCCAGTATGAATGCCAAGCAGATTTCCAAATTTTTGGCAGAATGAATTGCGCCATGATGCTCTTTTTCTCACAAACACTGCCCAACTGACCCTATTATACCATGCAGTCAACAAAAAACAAACAGGCATGCGCAAAATTAAAAATATAAAATGGAGACAGAGATAGAGAGAGAGAGAGAGAGAGAGAGAGAGAGAGACAGAGATAGAGAGAGAGACAGACAGAGATAGAGAGAGAGAGAGAGAGAGAGAGAGAGAGAGAGAGACAGAGAGAGACAGAGACAGAGAGAGAAACAGACAGCGAGACAGAGAGAGAGAGAGACAGACAGCGAGAGAGAGAGATACAGAGAGAAACAGACAGCGAGACAGAGAGAGAGAGACAGACAGAGAGAGAGAGAGAGAGAGAGCGAGAGAGAGCGAGAGACAGCGAGAGAGAGCGAGAGATAGCGAGAGAGAGCGAGAGAGCAAGCAACAGAGAAAAATAGAGAGAGAGAGAGAAATAGAGAGAGAGAGAAAGATACACACACAGAGACAGATAGCACTTCTATAATTCTATAAAATATGCAGATTCATTAAAATTATTGCATATTAGTTGAAAGTAACCTATTGTGCCATGAATTCATTGTCTGGAAAAAAATTACTGATGATATCCAAATTTTATAGCAAAAAAGTCACCCCCCAAGTCAATTTTATAGCAAAAAAGTCACCCCCTTCCCCCCCCCCACACACACACTCCCAACAGTGGTGGAGAAAAGAGAAAAAACAAGAGAGGATCAAAAATGTAGAATTAGAATCTGACAAGATTTGAACCAATTCAATTCATGCTGTTTGATTGTTTGAGCATCAAATTGAACTAAGCATTGTGATAAAGAAAGAAAGTAACAAAGATGAAAGAAAATAGTCAAATTAAGAATAATAATGACAATGCTTCAAATAAGAAATTCAAACATTTTACAACTATTATATCTATGACTGCTATTACTACTACTACTACT